AACTGGAAGACTCTGGAGGGACTGCCAATGTTCGGAGGGAATAGTGCATCACCATTCTAGTCATCCTCATTCAAAGCTAAATTTTTAAAAATATGGACTGCCTTCAATATAAGTAAATTAATTTAATGGGTGGTAACCCTCAATAAAAAAAATTACAGATTCTGAAAGAACTGGGCAGAAAATAGCAGGTATAATCCAGGTGCTTTGAGAAAATTTGCTTTCTGGTGTGTGTGTGTGTGTGTGTGTGTGCATGAGGGGGCAGAGAGAGAGAGAGAGAGAGATCCTGTCTATGTTGAAATGGTTCTCAGCAAGATTTAAGATTCTAAGGAATCTATTATTATTATTATTATTTTCTTTTTAGAGGTTTTTGCTATAGGGTGCATGTGCTCACCAGGAAGGCAGAGACAGAAAGGGAGAAATCACCCACCCTAGGAGGGATGGCCACACCGCAATCCCTTCTCCTCCATTTCCTCTTGGGATTTTGGGTATGCACGCACACACGCCCAGCGTGAGTTTAAGCCAGCAGGTCTGGGACTTGAATTGTGGTCAACTACATGGGAGTACAACAACGTAGTCATTATGCCATCTGCTGGTCCTAGGAATCTATTATTTTAATGATTTTTACAAACGAACTAATCAAATGTAACAGATGCATTATTTTAACTTCATGCTGATTCCATAAAATGATTTGGTAGATTTTTAAAAATAATTATTTATTTAATTTTATTTATTATTATCATTTTTCAGTTTGACCAGAGACACACACACACACACACAGAAAGAGAGAGAGAGAGAGAAAGAAGGAAAGCGAGAAAGCAAGCCACCAGATCTGGGACTCGAACTGTAGTTGGGCCATATGGGAGTCCAGTGCTTCAACCACCACACCATCTGTCAACCCTAGTAGATTTTTTTTTTTCCCCTTAAGGCTGGGAACCTTATTTAAATAGGCAAAATACCTCAACCCTATTGTGTCCTGGAATTATTTTTAAATGTTTAATTCACTCCTCAACATGACAAGTATCAACATAGAAGATTTTCATGAGAACATGTTTAATCTTGGTAAGCAATCATGAAATGTGAGATCAATTATTTTAAGTTTCTCAGAGATTGTAATTACCTCATGACTTTTAGATAAGCACATGAAAATTTTATCCTCAAGTTTTCCCTTCACCCAGTCATTCATCATTATCTAAATCCGTCGACTCAGCCAAAGGTACACACTGTGTTTTGGGACCTCTTTGGCCAGAGCGAAAGGACAGCTGGGTGAATGGGATGCTGGTGTAGCTCCTGCTGCGTTTTACGTGTTCCCCCGAAATGCAAGCATTCCATCTGGGGGCCATCATAACCACGCTGAGATAGTAGAAATTGTGTTGTGGAAAGATGAGGTCTTTGGAAAATGATTAGTCATCAGGGTAGGGCCGTCATGCCTGAGTCCTGGGGGGTTTGCAAGAAGACCGAAGGAGACAGACAAGACGCTCTGCTCTTTTCATGCTCTTGCCCTTCGCCATGTTGGAATTCAGTGAGAGGACCCTTATCAGATCCAGCTCCTCGACCTTGGGCCTCCAAACCATGAGCCGAAAAATCTGTATTTATAAATTACCCAGGCTCAGGTATTTTCCATTATTATCAACAAAACAGACTAGAACAGTTACCTATTCAGGTCTGTCTGGACACACTGATCAGTGTGTGGGTGACCAGAGTCTGTGGGTGACCCACTGGTGCTGTAAGACAGCACTGACTGAGAGGTACAGATGGGTCAAGGGGACCACAGGAATGGCTTCAGCATCCAAACAGAGGGGTATTCCTTTCTTCATGCACTGTTTTGGTCATGCTTCATTTAAAGCTGAGTTGTTTTTTAATTTTAATAAAATTATCTAATTTTATTTATTGTTATTATTATTCTTTTAATTTGCTATCTGGCATGTGCACTCAACAGAGAGAGAAAGAGAGAAAGTGAGAAAGAAAGTTGCCAGGTCTGGGACTCAAACCACAGTTAGCCATGTGGGAATCCAGTGTCTTAACCACTATGCCACCTGCTGGCCCCTAAAGCCGAGTTTTTAAAAATAGCTACAAGGAAATTAGTTTAGCGAGCGTAATTAGTATCAAAAAATAGTATCGAATGGTGGTAATTGGTATCAAAACATAGCTATAAGGAAATTAATTTAGTGAGTGATAATTGGTATGAAAAAAGAAAAAGAAATGACAGAATAGAAAACATCAGGGAGGGCCACATGGTGGGATGGCAGTAAGATTCTCTGTGAAGCTGTTCCACATGGGGAGGTTTAGGGCTTGTACCTGGACACCTCTCTGAGTGGGCCAGGCACTCACTCGCCCATGATCTGGGCCTAGCTGAGGCTGAATTGTGATGTCACAGTTCGGAGTGCTCTCTCTCTGGTTTTCTCTCTCTCTTACTCATGGAAAGAATAAATAAAACCTGAAAAGAAAATGTCTGGGTGTGTTCCAGATGCACTGTGAAAGCTTCCTTTCAGTTGTACTTACATATGTATGTGTGGGGTGCTCATGGGCAATGCTGTTCTTACAGTAGAGAAGTTTGAAAACACCACTCCAAAGTGCGGAAGCAGCAGGAGACATGTCTAACCCACTGTGTGTGCCGGCTCCTGAGGCTGCCTCAGAGAAAGGCTAAGGAAGCTTTGAGGAAGAGCTCACGTAGGCCTTATGCACCGAGCTGGCATGGAGCTGAAATAAGAACCATTACATTTCTCGATCCTATTCTGAGACTGTTTACCTTCATCCAGTCATACATATGAGGAGCTTCAAAAAGTGTGTGGAAAAGTACAGGTTTATTTGGGTGCAAAAAACAATGTGGACATCCATGCATAGGTTTTTCATAACACACATTTTTCAAGGACTTTTTGGAGACCTCTCACATTAAGTCACAGTGACCTTTTATAACAGGTACCCATTACCACTCTCCTATAGACGAGAGAAGTCGGTCATATGTAGGGTCCCGCCATTAGTTAGTGGTGGAGCCAGTAAGACTTCAGAGTTCTACCTAGTGCTGCTCAGTGACTTGCACCAATGGGATTGTTCTGGTCTTGGCTCTTGGTCCATTTAAACCATCTTGGAGTTATGAGAGTGGCTCTCGGTTGTCTGACTGCAATGTAACCAGGCGAAGAAAGTTCACCTCACTGCACAGTGCCCCTTATCAGCCTTGCAGACACTAACATGCCTGCTATGTGCCTGGGGCTATTCTCATTATTTAATAAACACCTTTCCCCATGAAACAATATTAATCTTTGTTCTGAACGATGTATGTGACTAATCTATTTTAGCCCAGTCTGAGGCTGGGTCTGCAGTGCAGTGGTGAAGTGCCGTACCCTGGGAGCTGTATCCCACGTGGCTGACTGATTCACGTCCTGGCCTAGTGGCTTGAGAAACATGTTGGGCCTGTGTGCGTGCCTGCCCCAAATCCTGATGAGATGGAGAAGTGGAGGAACGAGGGCTGTAGCATTACTACACCCACTGGTCTCTCTCTCTGGCAAGTGCAACGTGCACTCTGGCAAAAACAAACCAAAAAACCCTACCTTATCCTAGTCTGTTAAAAACAAAACAAAAACCACTGGTCATAATTCACTAATTTGATTTCACAATCACTAATGGCGTAATTCAGTTTTAAGTGATTCTTTACTTCATGTCTACTATGAGGTAAAATACTTGCAAAGAAATTAAATTAGCACAGATTCATCCTAACATCATTTCTTGGAGTGAAGGCCAGCCCTCCTTGTAAGCCACAATTGTGCAGGGCACATTTTACCGATAAGCAACCTCCAAACACCGCATACCACTCCTGGTTCACAAAGTGCGTTTGCACACACCGTCTCATGTACTTGTCACAAAGCAGCACTCTGAGCATTAGCAGCCCCATTCTGGAGCCAAGCTAACAGGCTCAGAGATTTGAAGTGACCTGCTCAAGATTACGCAGCTAAATTAAAAATGGAGGCCCCTGAGTTTCTTTCTTTTCTTTTTAGAATTCATATCTCATTTCCTGATCACAAAAGTAACATACATGCATACTGAAAATACTCAAAAGAGGTACAAAGAAAGTAAAAACAATTTTCTTAGCCACAGCCCCTTTTAACATTTCTGAGTACTTCCTGCAGTGTGGGATATTTCTGAGTTGTACTTTTATAGAAATAGGATGACCTTAGCCCATGTAAGGATGGGAGAAGCAGCAGCCTCTTCAAGGAGAGGGCCGTCCCCACGCCAACGCCTTCCTTCCCACTGTGGTCAGGAGCGCTGCCTACCGGCCAGGCCTCCTCGTCCCCTAATGAGCATACTGGACAGAGCTATGCAGTACGAGGTGGGCAGCAGTGGGAAAGACAGAACAAGACTCAAACGTTTTGGGACATTATAGATTCCAAATGGATAAAACCAAAAATTTTTCTAATTAAAACTACCTAACATCAAGACGAGAAAGAGAGAGAGAGAGAGAGTGAGAGAGCAATAAAGACATGGCAGGTAGTTATGGGGTGAGATGCATGTTCTCCTGAGCGCCTGGGGCTACGTGGCTTCAGACACCCACAGCCCTAGTACACAGGACAGCTGGAACTCAAACCGCTTCTGCTACCTGTGCAGCCGGCCCATCGCATGCCATCACCTTGAATTATAATGCCCTAGTTATGTTACTTTGTGTTTGTGTATAATTTTTTTATATCACATGTATTTTTTGATATGTGTCTATCATAAACTGATGTGCGTTGGGCAAAAATAATTAGCCTTAGCTTACGGTCACTTTTTTTACTTACACACTTTTTAAATTTTAAACATTTTGACTCTTGTAAAACATTTAGCTTAAAACAAAAAACACCTTGGATAGCTATACAAAGATATTTTCTTTCTTTACCTCCTTATTCTTAAGCATATTAAATAGCAGTGAAAAAACAAACAAACAAAAAACAACTAACAACAGTACATAGGCAAAAGAGACGAAGTATCTTACCTGGACACCCTGGCCTGTGGAATTCATTTGAAACACTTACCTGTGTAAAGAAATGTGTTGGAGTGTCCTCCCACCACTACGTCCACACCTTTTACTTTCTGGGCAATGAGTTTATCCATTTCAAAACCAGAGTGTCCCAGTGCAATGATCTTGTTCACATTTAGCGTTTTTAGCTTATCCACTTCAGGTTGCAATGCAGTGATTTCATCTTCAAATACTAAATTTGTTCCTGAGGGACAAAATAAGCAAAATGGACATTTAGTTCCAGTCCATTGTGTTATACCGCTTCTTAGGCATACTAACATGCCAAATAGAAACACCTTAATTTATTACCACTCTTCAATTACTAAGGCCAAAGCATATTTATACTTTAAATACAAAACCTCTAGGAATCCAATTTAAAAAATAAAATCAACACCCTCAGTTACATTCATTTAATGTTGCATTAATTTTAAGAGTGTAGATGATACTAAAATTTTGCCTGAACTTAACCTCCAACTCTGAGGCAGCTTCAGATACAGTTTGTTTTACCTGTTTTTATATTTGACCTCCCTACCACCAATGCAGAAGACGCCCGAGCATGTAAGTACAATGTATAAAACTGCATTCATGACTTCAAAGCTTTGTTTAGAAACTTGCGATATTCAGTGTTCAAACTTAAACTACCAGCAAGTAGTCTTTGCATGTTAGTTTTGACGCGGTGGTTGCTAACTGTCTTGTTCCCTTGCAGGTAATCTCAGCAGTAGAGCATTACTGTGCCTTGAACTAAATAGGGGCCTCATCTAAGGAGAAAAATAGAGAGGCAAGTCATTTATGGGACAAAGAAATGTGTTGATATCTATTGAAGATAACTGTATAGTATTGTTAACTGGACTGGTGAGAAATGTACACCTGTTGGAATACTCACTTTGCAAGCTAAGTAACATGTGATTAAATGTAGAAAAGAAATAGAAATTTAAAAATTAAAGAAAAAAAAATATCACAGGCATTGGAGCTGTGTATAGTCTTTGCTGGCTGCATACTCCCATACTTAGTGGTTGTGAATGACCACCTGTTGGACTGCACAGCCCAGGAGCTCTGGGTGCTGCAAACATCTGCTGCCTATGAGTCGAGATGACCATGCCCCCCACTGTCTCTATAGCCAAACCTCAGCAAGCCTTGAGGTCTTACGGCTTTGACTGGCATGAAGGTGACTGCAAATACACACAGACATGCTGCCCTGAAGTTGTGTCCAGTACTCTGCCCCAGGGAGTCATCCAGGTGATACAGACTCCTTATGTTCATTTCTAAAAACCAGCACTAAAATGAAAATGCCACGAAATGAAGAACATTACATAAAGAGCTTTCAAAATGCACAACTTCACAAACTTGTTTGAAAACCATAAATCTCTCTGAAGAGCAACAAGACTATTCAAAACACGCCCCTTTTTACACTATGATGTTTAGGAGTCTCTGTGAGCTCCAGGAGGGATTCCTGGATCCTTCACATTAACTCCACATGTGCAAGTTATCGTGGCAGGCAAATACCCTGGCTGATGTCACAGCCCAAACATTTGCAGCTCTCAGATGTGTGGTGGCAGTGTTTTCAGGAATTTACACGGAGCACTTAAAACTCAGGAGTTGTAACAGCTGTGCCACTGTGTCTGTCATGAGAACATCAAGGATAATGTGCTTCTTGCTGATCACTCCAAGAAACGCACACCTCCTGGTCACCCTGCAGTGCCACGTGACCTTATGAATCTTTATAACAAGCTGCAGGCCAGGAGGTTGTGTGGTGGTTAGGCAGCTGGATCCCACACAGCTGACTACATGGTTCAAATCCTGGACTTGACAACTTGAAAAACACGACAGCTTGAAAAACATGCAGGGCCTATGTGTGCAGGTGTGCTCAAAATCCTGAGAGGAGAATGGAGAAGGGATTGTGGCATAGACCTCCCCCACCACTACCACCATGGGAGTGGGAGGAGTGGAGGACTCCTTTCTCTTTTCTCACTTTCCTTCTCTCTCTCTCTCATTTCTCCAATGAGAGCATGTGTTTTAAAACAACAATTTCAAAAATAAAACAACAAAAACAAGATGCACCTTCATACACACCACGCCACACCTGCCACTTCCCCCTCCTGCTTAACTTCTCCACAGTACTCGCCACCTCTGACACGCCCTTTCACTCACTTGGTTATCTCCCACCAAATGCACACCTCAGTAGACCGGGATAGTTTGGTCAGCATTCTTGGTGCCTAGAACAATGCTTTGCACATAGAAAGGTGCGCAGGAGAATGGATTAATGTTGTAAGAATACTGCCTTCTTCTGCTTTGCTCTGGCTGGTGAGGGAAGAAGAAGTTCAGAGGCACGTCTGTGGGCAAGGGAATGTATTCTCCTAATACATCAGAAACCTCACAGGGGAGAGCATTGCATAGAGAGATAGCTTGGGATGTATTTCAGGATGCCGTGAGGAGAGTTACATCACAGGGGTTTCATCACCTAGCTGAGATAAATTAAATATGTTAGAAATACAAGTTACACTCCTGTGGGTAATCAGGCCACTGAGAAAAACTGGACTTAATAGGGGCCAGAGATCTGTAGGAAGAACCCACACTGGAGTGTTGGGCTTGTGGTCTTGGGAGAAGCAGGTTCTCCCAGAAACATTCTGTCCCAGGACACCCCATTGTTCCCATCTCAGGCCCTGTGCAGTTCGGTGCCTCTCTCAGGAAGATGCTAGAACGAGCATTATCCTTTCTTTCTCCATTTCAATCTGGTAAAAGACTCATGGGTCAGAGTCCAGGCTGGGGAAGTTTGATTTCTGAAGTCCCTGTGTCTCTCTGCCAACACCAACACCCACTTCTAATCTTTTTAGTAGTGACTATTCAAGATGGGACAATACTTTCCACCCAATCACACCTGAAATTTTTAGCCCTATAATCAAGCCCCTGCACAACTTTCTAGCTTGTCTTATTCAGAACTCATGTTCCAGGAAGCTGAACTACAGTATCCACACTTTTGTGATTGTGGCCCTCCATTTTGCGCTCTTTTGTATTCGTTCCTGTAACAATCACTGAGAATTACTGTGATGGCTAATTGTAGGAGTCGAGTGACTGTGTTACAGAATGCCCAGAGAACTGGTGAAGCATTACTCCTGCGTGTGTACATAAGGGCACTTCTGCTGGAAACCAGCATGTAAATCAGAAAACCGAGTGAAGATCTGCCCTCTTCTCATTCAACTGGCAGGAAGCCCAAGTACAAGAGCAACAAAAAGAGGCAGAGAAAACATGGTTTCCACGCTCTCTCTCCTTGAACACTGGAACTCCAGGCTGTCTGGCCTTAAAACTCTGACTTAACTCTGCACCTTGGGTTCTTAGGACTCTGGCTTTGGACTGAGAACTATATCATTGCCTGTCTGGTTCTGAGGCTTACAGCTACGCTGCTGCTGGTATCAAGGGTCTCCAGCTTGCAGACGGCCTGGAATGAGACTTCTCAACCATCATAGTCACACAAGCCAATTCCCCTAATAAGCTCCCTTTCTCCTTCTCTGTCTCTCCACACACACATGTATATTTATGTGGACACAGATAAATATACATATATATGTTTACAAACATATATATACATATACATATACATATACATATACATATACGTATATTTATCTGTGTCCATATAAATGTATATATACACTTGTATATATACAACTATATATAATCTATACATATGCATTTCCCATAGATCCTATGTTCTATTTTTCCTGTTAGTCAGAAGAACCTGAACTCTGACTACTGGTATACCTGACTAATACACCATTTTAACAAAGAGTAATAAATTGTGGAGACTTGATGAGACAAAGGAAAAGGGGGTTTGGACTAGAAGTGGTAAATTTATCAGACCTGTAGTTATACAAGGAAAGGAAGGTTAAGGTAAACTGAAGTGAAACTCCAGCTCTGGACTCTGGCTCCATGGAAGGAAGGGCAGTGAGTTGCATGGATCTCGTTCTTTCATAAATGAATCTGTGCTATTTAGCACTGGAGTATAAATGGCCATCTCTTCCCATTGTGAACACACGGAGCTAAACAAAGATACTGTTTATGTTAATAAGGAAGTTCACTGACCAGGAGAGATAATGTCTTAAAGAAGTAACTTCAAACAACGTGGAGCCTACCAGATTGGTTTTATAGATACCATAACTACAATGTTTGCCCTACTTCTACCTACAGGCCATAGCAGTAATGCCAAGCGCTGATTTAGTGCATCTATTTTCAAACAACGAGTTCTAGAAAAGGAGAAAATACCTGGATTTGAGAGAAAAGGTGTTTCTCTTGAAGTATATCCAACAATTCCCACAACTTCATTACCAACGGAAAGAATTTTATATGGCAAGTAAAGTCCCGATATTTGAGATGCTAGTGGCCCCTTTGCTTTAATGTTCGCACTCAGAATTGGAAATTTGGCCTCTTTGAGAAGTGGGTCAATCAGTCCTTCTACACCATTATCAAATTCATGATTTCCCAGTGCCTAAGTAAAAAGGAAAAGAGAAAAAGAATTAGGTACTTTGAAATACTCAATAAAATCATACTTTAAAAAAAATGTTGTTTTGGCCCAGGGGCTCCCCAAACTGGCGAGGCTGTGTAAGACAGAGTTCAGGCCTTGCGTCCTCCTCCTCTCTAGAGGTTTTACTCAGGGACATTCACCTCACCAGGTTGGTTCAATCGCTGTCCCAAGGTCTCACCCCAACTAGCGAAGCTGGTGTCTATTTATGTGTGGAACCATCACCTGCAATGCCGGTCAAATCCGTACTGTTCCACTACCTTTGGGTCTGGGCAGGTTTGAAAATCTGCAGTTACCAGGCTTTCCACACTCTGTTTTCCCTTATAAACTCACATTTCAGATCCAATCATTCAAACTGCTGTCTGCTGAGGGGAACTGTTAGCATAACAGAACTTTAGCAACTCAAAATGTATTGTCAACAGAGACCAAAGGCCCTCTTCCTCACTGGATCTCCTCAGCTGTCATTCTTCTAAGGTGCCCCAATGGTTTCTTCCCCAAGGACTCTCATGGTGCGCTAATTCTGAGCAAATGAGGTCTCAGAGGCACCCCAAGCCTACCATGCTCGAAGCCCCGTTTTGCATGATTTGCCATCTTGGCTCAAGGTGTCACTATGTACCCAGGCAATAGAGCCAGAAGCAGCTGAGTCCTTCCTGCTGTCTCCTCTCCCCTCCCTCCCACAAGCATCCCTTTCCTTTACTGAAATGCTCCAAGTTCTGTCCATCCCATTGTTACCACCACAGGCAGTCCTCTGCATCTCTCTTAACTTTATAATGCTGCCAGAGGGATCAGCAGATGGTGTAATGGTTACCTCACTGGACTCCCATGTAGTCAACTGTGTTTCAGGTCCTGGATCTGGCAGCTTAAAACGCACACAGGGACCAACAGTTAGTGTAACGGCTATGTTGCTAAACTCCTATGTAGGAGACTGCAGTTCGAGTCCCAGACATAGTGGCTTAAACTCAGGCCGGGCGAGTGTGCGTGTGTGCCCAAGATCCAGAGAGGAGAATGGAGGAGAAGGGATTGCAGCATGGCTATACCCCCTGGGGGGTGATTTCTCGCTTTCTATCTCTCTGTCTTTCCAGCAAGCACATGTGTCTTATAGCAAAAACCTCTTCAAAAAAAAAAGAAAAAAGAAAAGAAAAAAACACATGCTGGGTACATGTGTGTGCATCTCCAAAATTCTAAGAGGAGAACGGAAGAGAAGGAGTTATGGTATGACCATCCTCCCTGGGGGTAGATTTCTCACTTTCCATCTCTCTGTCTTTCTCTGTCTCTCTGGCAAGAACATGTGCCCTATGGGGGGCGGGGGAGAGGGAAGATCTCTCAAAAAAAAAAAAAAAAAAGGAAAAAAAAATTAATGCTGTCAGAATCATCTTTCTAAAATGCCTTTCTAGGACCAGGAGGTGGCATGGTGGTTGAGGGGCTGGATCCCACATGGCCAACTGTGCTGTTTGAGTTTTGGACCTGGTAGCCTGAAAAACAGGCCAAGCAGGTGTGCATGCTTGCTCAAAATCTGGAGAGGTGAGTGGAGGAGACAGGACTCACACAAGAGATTCCCTCCCCCCAGGAGGGGTGGGGGTGGGGAAATGATTTATTTTTCCTCTTTCTAGGTCCCTCTCTGTCTTTGTTCAGAGAGTGCTCGTGCCCTATGGAAAACTGAAAAACAAAGCATGCAGATCTGTTCTTTTCACCCTCATCCCTCCTGCAGAGGAACTGCCTTTCTGATCAAAGTCAGCACCCTGAGTAGGTCCCTCAAGGATCTTAGAGACCTGGCCTCATCTTCCCCTCCAGCCTCATTTCTGACACCCACTCCCACCCGCTCCCTTATGTTCAAGGCACCAGGCAGGGCTGGCTTTACCGCTAATGAACAGTGACCTGGGGCCCATTTCTAAATTAAAGTTTTCTTTGTATGGGCAGTGAGTGAATACAACAAAAGTGGTAGTGAAAACGAGCCAATATTTACTAAGCATACTAAGCACTTGCCACGTGCATTCACAAAAAGGCGACTGATTTTCTGGGTGACTAGAAAATCTGGTTTTGCACTGAGTTTGGTACAATTACTATGCTCATTCTACAGATGAGAGAAACAGAGATTTACAGAAATCAGATGAATTATTAAAGGTCAAATAGTAAGTGGTGGCGTGGGGCTAGAACCACTTTTGTTTGACTCCAAAGTTCTTAACAAATCTAAGCTTGGAGGCAAAGGCTTTGTGTAAGGCCTAGCACAGAGCAAGGACTCAGACAGTAAATTCCTAACTACTTGCAGTTTCCCACTTATCGTCCCTCTGTGTGTGATAGATGACTGCCAATAATCAGAGAAGCAAATAGGTAGAATAGAATAAAATAGAATATTTCTTCTTCATGACATGCCTTTACTACCTTATTCTTTTAAAGACATGTATTTATCTATTTAATTTGCCAGAAGGTGAGTGCACTAGCCAGAGAGACAGAAAGACAGGGAGAGTGGGAGAGGGAGAAAGCACCTTCCCCCATCTAATGGGGCATGGTCAGGCTGCAGTCCCCTCTCCTCCATTTCTCCACTCTGTTAAGGTTTTGAGCATGTATGCCCCGGCACCGGGCATGTTTTTCAAGCAGCCAGGGACAAGGTTCAAACCAGGTGGTTAGCCATGTGGGATCCAGTTGTCTTAACCACTAGGTCACAAGATCTGCCCACAATCTTATTCACCTAATAGCTTTAGCTCCTGAAGTACCATGATCCTTTCAGAAGAGTGACCTCCCAAGAATCCTTCACTAGGCTCTTTAAATTAGCTGTCCTTCCCCTCTGACGGCCAGCTACGGTTTAAATGTCTTCCATGGTTTATGTGTTGAGATTTGGTTGTGATGGGATTCAGAGGGTGAATGATGGTCTGACTATAGTGCTGAAAGGTGAAGTTTTGGGGAGATTAGGATTATGGTCATTAGGGCAGGGCAACCAATATGAACTCCTTTTGGGTTTATAAGGAAGGGGAGTAAGACCAGAACAGAGACATACGGACATAAATGCATTGATCCTGTCCTCCACCATGTTGTGGTCCCTGGGTTTCGGGCCTCCCAACTGGAAGCTGAATAAACTTCAATTTGTTTTGTTATTAGCAACAGAATGGGCTAGGCTGGCATCTCTAGCAGAGCTCTTGCCCGCCCTGAGTAGTCAGTCCCTCTGATGCTCACCAGCCCTGAAACACAGCAGGGATGCACTGCTGCATGAATACATGAACAGAACAGTTACAAATGCCATTTGCTCTTCTACACACAGCTAACTTTTCCTATAAAAATTAATGCAGAAAAATTCCTTTATAAATACTTTCTTTTGAACTTATATTTTCATTTCCCCATCTTGACTTTCTCCTCCCATTTTTCCTCTGTTGCACATATTAGAACTTAGTGGTTCATTAGCTCTTCAGGAGGAGGCTTCTGCTGCTCACTGCGCACACCAAGTTCCCACCGTGCTGCAGGCATGCGGCAGCACTCAAGAAATGTGTTAAATAAATGGGTTTCAATCACCCATTGCTGTGATTTTTATTAGCACATGAAAGTATCTTAGAAGACTGTCCAAGAGATGAACATAGAGAAATGAAAGACAGACCAACGTAACGGGGCAGATAATCTTATTCTGCCTTTTTCGGTCCTAAGAGCTTCCATCCAACTTCAGTCATGTGTACTTGTAAACTGTTGCTAAACTGTTACTCGCCGCTTACTGTTTAACCATCGCCTTCGGCAAGTAATTTCCATGTTAAATCATTTCTTATGCTCATACTTCCCCTCTCCTCTCACTTATTGTTTTGCTTTCCAAATATTTCACTTCTAATATTGAGTTCATTCATTCACCAACCCTAGCCCTTATGCCAACTTTGTAAATTTTACCACAAAAACGAAGTCCGCCAAATGTACTTTCCTGTAACTTAAGCGGGCTGAACCTAGTGAACTGACCTTTAGTATCTCCAACACCAAATCAAAGAAATATAATAAGAGCATCGGGTTCAGCCCCAGCTCCTCACCCCCACCACCTGCTCTGTGCCAGAGAAAATCTAAAAAAATTTATCAATAATCTGGGCCAAGTGGTGGTGGAAAATCATACCCACATGCGAAAGGTCCTGGGTTCATGTCCTGGGACCTCGAAGTGCATGCTAGCACATGTATGTGTGTACGCGTGAACCAGGCCGGCCGAGGCTGGGGGTAGATCTGGATGTAAAGACCCTGTGGGGTGCCTGTCTCTGTCTCTCTCTCCTACTTCTCTCTCTGCCGCTGTTTTACTCTCTGTGAAAGAAAATTTTAGAAAGGAGCCAATGATCTTATGTGAAAGAAAACTTTCCACATTCACAAAGAACAGTTCAACAAACTTGAAAAAAGGTTTGTCCTATTCACAAATAAGTGCCAGTAAGATAGTAGAAATACTAATATATAGTAGTTCATAAATTAAAACACAACGAGAGAGCAGAACCCGGGCACTGTTCAGAGAGGTTACTGTGGTCAGGCTCTGAATTATGATGCAGATGGCGAAGCTTTTCACCTGCTTCTAGACAACGTGGTTCCTCTTCTTCTAGTATATAATTTTTTCATATCCTGCCTTCTGAACAGTTTCAATGGCTCACATACCGAATCAGAGTAAAATGGAGCCCATTTAAATGGAGCAGGTGGAGTGAGTGGTTTTATTATTCATTCAGTAAACATCTGCTCGGCACTGGTGCCAGCACTCGCCTGGGGTCATTGAGGACACACTGAGGACACAGAGGCAGCCAACATGTGAACTGATGGCCGCAGGGCACAAGCACTATTAGGGCAGGTCTGCAAGGTACCGAGGATGCACAAGCAGACTGGGACTAAGGTCCCTGAAATTTGTCAGAAAAAAAGTATTGTGGCCCAGGGCATCACTGGGAAATCAGTATGGTGGCCAAAGGGTCATGACTTTCTGGTGAGGAAGACATGGAGATATTTAAGGCAAGGCCAGAGGCAGCTGGGGTATACCTTGG